TGAGTGGGTGGTATTTATGAGTGGATATGGAAAAAGCAGTCAATTGAATTTATGTTGTTTGGTTATCACCTGCCCCTGTTTGTAAGAGTAAACGGAACATGAAAAAAAGGCAGGCTTTTATTCAGTTCTTCGTATTTCTTTTTTCGAGGATGACGATTATGATAATTCATGAGCGAAAAACAGCGGCTGCATCTCCATTCTCAGCACGTATCAGTTGCCAAGCCTGTTTTCTCAGTTTGTATCCGATTTATGAGCTGGCTATGTATACTTTTTTGGCGATATACGTATCAAAATTCGGATAAAAGTTATTTTAATCAGTCGGCTTTCGCATTTAGCCATTGCCATTATACCGGTAAATTTACAGCAGCAGCGACAGCGGGGCAAGGAAACACCGGCTATCCGCGAAGAAATTTCAAGATCTGTTCTCGAAGCGATGACGACAACTGTGATGCCTGTGCTCCAGGAAACTTGTGCGTCGCTGTTTCAACATCTCAATGAGACATTTCGTACTGGGTTGGAGCAGTACATGGAGCAGGTGCAGACTCTCTGTGCCAGTACTCTCAAGACGACTGGTGCTACAGTTGAAAGTAGCATGACGACAGGTGGCAATTCGGGCCACGCTGACAGGTCTACCCTGATCAGTCTTATCGAAAATAACCTCTTCGCTGCCGCATTTGAAAAGGTTTTTTTGAATTTTTGTTGAAAATTTATTGTTTTGGAGATTTCTGGATAAATTGTAGCACTGAATCGCTTTGAGGAGTTTTCTGTGGGTTGTGGCACAGTGAACACGAATATTTTCAAGTGGCGAGTTTAAAATTTTGCGATACTATCTGAATTGTTCTGAATTCAACTATCATCTGGTCAAAGTAGAAACTTCAGGACATGGAAAAAACGCATGCCAGTGGGAGTATCAGAGGATCTACCTCAACTGTTCGTACTATTCCTTCCCAGTAACATGGTATCCCACTCCAAGGGATGCCGAAAATTGTGGGAAAAACACGAGCTCATTTTTCGCAATTGAAGGAACTTTAGAATTCGCTCTGAGTACCAGAAACATTCATAAGCAAAATCCGCACTAACTTAAGCATTTTATCAAGTAAACTAACGAAGCAGCAGAGAAATGAATTGCGAAGCACTGTGGTGCTGTTCCAGCATTATTCTTCTTCGCGGCCTTTTCTAGCAGAGTTCCCGAGTTTTTCAGCATTACACTTGCCCGTGTTTTTACTAGATGAACAAAAGGCATGCCGAATTTTCTTGCCTGAATTGTTCTGAATTCGACTTAGCTTGGTGATTTGCTTTTGTTTTCAGGCACTTACTCAAAAAGATTTTGGGGCGCTGATGTTCGTTTGCAATAATGTCGATCCGGAAATAATCGGAAACGATGAGCAGCCTTTGCCACAAAACATTATTCTCTGTCTATTGAACCAACTAGGAGCGAAATTGGACGGAGAAACGGATCTCAAATTTAGGCGAGTTGACACTAAGGTTTTTATCCAGTTGAATATCATTTTTCCGAAGGATAACGGGATATCCTCAGTAGCCGAAGTGCATTTTCTCGAAAAAAAAATTTGACGATTCCGATTATTTAGGTACATTGAGAATGCTCTAATGGCTTTGCAAGTGAAGGATCCTACAGTTGCAGGCAGTTACCGGCATGTGCTAAATCGTTTGCAGACATTTTTGACAGGTAACTAGTTATGCCTTTTTCGGAAAAAAGCTCCATTGTCTCAGGCAACCCGTTGACTGGAATTTTCGGAGTGGTTTCATGCAAAATGCCCGAGATCGTAGTAGTTGGAATAATTTCAGTCCCATATTATGTGGATTATTCCCGTCCACGACATTACAAACAATTACGTTACAAAAAAACATTACAAAACATTACAAAAAAAAAATTACAAAAATGCGTGACTGTGGCTGGTCTGCTAGTGCGCGTTCTCACTATTGTTTATCTGAGAAATTAGATTTATTTGCTACAGCATTATTTTAGCTTACATGGCAGAGGAAGAAAATGCAGGTCTGAAGCGTCGTGCTCGGATTATCTCGCAGCTTGCTGCAAACATGCTGAAGTGATCACTGTTCATCCGTGTAAGTATACTAGTTTTAGCGAAATCTGTTCGAATTTTGCCGTGTTTTACATTATTTTTTTCATTGTATTTTCACGTGTGTTTTCAGTTCTTTTTCAATGCTTTTCATACTTTTTGAAACGACAATTTGTGGGCCATTTTTTTTGAACTTTTTATCGATTGTTTTGAAGTTCAGAATCTTTTTAGTTGTGCTGACAACTTGCAGTAAAGCAGTTTGCTTTTCCTCTGCGAACAGATTAGGCATCCCATGTACATAAAATGCGTTGTTTGAACCATCTACGCATCAGCATGCGTAGATTTTCCTCTAAAACACTGAAAAGTATCATCTTATATCTCGCGAATTACATCCGTCCGCTCTCTCTATTGTTTGAGAGGCTAATGAGATAACAATTGGATATGCTAAACGTGCTTCTCAAGCAGGAGAAAAAAACAAGGGACACTGGTCATTTCAGTCAGTTCTGTAAGCCACAGTACTGGCATACCGTCCGACGATTTGAACCCTTCTGTGATTTCCTTGTGAATCTTGTTCAATGCTCAGTTTGTATCCAAATACACCGTCCAGCCTGCCTCTGTTTGGCTCACACGTTCTTCTGTTTGCTAGCAGCATCCCACACATACTGACTTGCTCCCACATCATATTTATATAATGCGTTTGTTTTACGTAGCAATTTTGCTTCGGTTTTTATAAGCTCTGTTTTGGAGGTGTGTTTTGGTATGAATTGTTCGTTTTTTGCGTCACATGATGCATCTCCCCACACATAACACTCCTCTTAGAGATGCAAGCAGTCACAAGAGCGTCCGCCCGTACAGTCGGAGTTCATTGATCAGAGAAGACTTGAGGCTTACGTACAAAACGAAATTTCACAACCCATAGCTGATCTGAGTGTCTAAAAAACTTCAAAACCATCGTTTCCCATGGGACATAAGGAGGTTTTGCAAGAATGTGTAGACAGCACAATGAAAAAAAAAAACAGTAATTTGCGATAGGCTAAAATGCACAAAATTTGAAAAGTTATAGTTTTTGAGAATTTCATCCGATAGGTAAATGCATTACCGCACGCAAGTTAATTACGTGTTGTGCACAATGAAACAACACGCAATTAACGCTTCAGGGCTCGCAAGTGTGAAATCTGAATAAAATTCAGATATACCCACGTCGTTGGCAATACTCTAAGAACGAAAACGCCTGGAAAAAACTTCTGTGTCAAGAAAAGTTCCATCTTGGAGCGGTGGATATGGTACTAAAAACGGGGTTTATAATCCCAGGCGCCATACCGTATGTTCGGCAAAGGCCGGATTAAACTGCGGGACAAATATGAGCACAAGTTCTAACAATCTGTACAAGGAATGTCTCTGAGAAGTGTTCGATAGTTGATTCAAAAGTGCGCCAAAGAATTCGACACCAAAGTTTCGGTCCAATCAACTTATGGCGGTTAATCTTCACATGTAAAGGATCGCTCTACATTAGGTGGTGGCAAGATTTGATATTATGTGTGCTCCTTAAGAACATCATTCATCGCTATCGTGCATCAATTTGAAGTCGACTAGCAAGCAAAAAATAAGACAAGGGACCGCAGCAACTCGGCTTATGGCACTCAGCGACATGAGGTATTTTAATATGAGATTAAAACAGAAGGATTCGTAAGATTGATGGTTGGAAGAGCAAGCATACAACAGACCGGATCGAGGGCGCAAATCTCTTCAAATGGCTAGCTTCCTCACAACAAATAGATGAACAAAACAAAAGTAATACACGCGCAAAGTTCATTTTACCTGATCAAACTGCCTATTGGTGAGTGTTATATTGGTTTGGGGCGAGTGCGGAACAGCAGTTTCTTCCTAATCACAGCCATAATCGGCACCACATTCGAACCCTGCTCATTTTTTCTTAATACAACAAAAGGATTCTCCAGTTTCACTTCTTTTCCCTCGATAATGTGATGTCCCACTTGGAAGAAAGCCTAAAAATATGCAACATCTAAAAAAACCACATATCTATTCACAAACGGAAGAACACGAAACCTAAAATCCGTTAGAATCATTGCATTTCAAAGAAAACTCGAAAAAGAATTGATTGAGCAGTTATTTTTTAGCAGTACACTGTTGGAAGTACATAGAACAGGCAATGGTTAGTACCGAAAGGCCTGGCATAGCTGCGCTGGGTGTATGAGAGCATCCTAGTAAAACCAGTAACAGAAAATACCCACACTGACAGATCGAGAAGCGGTCTTGGTATTCTTGATACATCGTTAGAAGTATACCATTTCCCGATTATTTGTGCATTGTGCATTTACACGAACTATGTCTATTGATGGCTATCAACCATTAGAACTGTTCTCTGCACTCGGACTATATTTTCCAGCTCTTGCTAATTGTTGGAATGCCACTTTCCAAAGTTATAAGAAATCAGCGTTTGTTAGACTGAGGAATTTGTTGTCTGCTTGTGTTTCCAATCCCGTTCAGCAGCAAGATTTCATGGTTGGGAAAGGACTAGTAATTTTACTATCTTTACTGTCTGACAAATCGTTAATGCGCTCGATGTTGGTAGGTTTTTGAAACTACATAAGTAAAGCTAACTTACAATCTGATTGCTGTTACACATTGTTTCAAAA